TGTATCCAGGTAGTGAGGCCTCATTGAGGGGGGAAGGGGATCACCTGATGCAACCAGGTTGTAGGAGATTGATGTGCTCATTCAGGTTGAGGCTATGTATGGTGACAGCTTTATTTGAGAAGGAGCGGACAAGCACATTCTAGTGATAAGTTTGCTTTCAGTGGTCTCCAGCAGTTAGTTTCAAGATTTTTGTGTTATTAAAGGTGCCTGGAAAAATGCTGGAAATTTCTCCCTCCCTCTCTTTGTCTAAAGGAATCCAAAAGGTATTTGTATTGCAAAAAAATGTTTTTTTCCACTGCTTGAGCTGAATAACTACAATAAACCATCAGTTTGAAGCTTGTTTCCTTCCATAAGCAGTAACAATCTGAGATCAATACTTAACATGAAAACCTGTACTATGGTCTGGAAAACAATCCAGCCAGTTTGCAATTCAATTTAGAAAACCAATAGAACCTGACAAACCAGATAATGGAAAGGTAACCTCTCCAAACAATCTCCTCCTCCAGCTTCTTTGGGTGAAACAATATCTCCTGCCATTTAACAAAGATGATAACCCTAGACAATTAATCAATCAATTAACCAAGGGTTGCCTAGTGACTTACAGGAGAGCTAATGTAAAATTGTTAAAGTTAAAACAGAGTTCTACAAAAACTCATCAACTGAACAGAATGATGAACAGAGGGGACCACGACTTTCAATTAATCATTACACAGAAATGGTCGGCAAACAGGTCCGAGCTCCAGGGATGCAGCAGAGGGACTTTCTTTGGCTCATTTGCAAAGTCCAGGATCAGGTAGTGGCATCACAGTGGCAAACACATGCGCGAGGGGACATGTGTGAGGTCCTTGGAGCTTAACTGGTTCCAAGGACCCCACGCAACATGTCCTCGCCCGCACAAAGCTCTGTGACCTAATCATCTCCATCCTTGCCCACCTTCCCCATCCCCCAGAAGATTGAGTTCAAGATCCTCATACTCACCTTTAAGCCCCTCCAAGGTTTTGTTCCTAACTATCTCTGCAACCTATTAAACCTTTAACAACCTGTCCACTCCCTCTGCTCAGTGGACAATGGTCCATGTCCCTCGACCTACCTGCTCCACCATCGACAGTCAGCCCTTCAGGCTTTCTGCCCCCATCCTCTGGAACCCCATGCTGGAGCTCCTCCACCTTGCCCCCTTCAAGACCCATCTATTTTACACAAAGCACCAATCATTCATGTCACGTCATTGCTCATGTTGACTGCTAAGTCATTACATTGCTTTGAGATTTTCTCCCAATATGAAAGACATTATATCAAATGCAAGAATTCTGAATTCTAGTACTTGAATTAGTCCTTAAATCCCTGCCTTTGATATTTAGCCAACAAAATATACAGTCAATCTACTTTACAGTATATTCTGTGAAGTGCTTTGAAACATCTCAACAACGTGATATGGTGCAATATCAAATGCAAGTATTATTATTGTTCCTTTCATGTCAAGAGGATGTCTCACACAATATATTATAGTGTAGTGACTGTAATTTGTAGGCAAATGCGCAGCCAATTTGTGTACTGAAACATTTTACAAACTGACAGGAAGGGCATTATTGTTATTTGGAGGGAACATAAGACAGGGCGGGTGAGAGATATTTAATGTCCATCTGAGCAGGCAAATAGGCTTAATGTCTCATCCGAAATTCAGCACCTCCAACAATGCAGCATACCCCAGCATTTTTTGGTAATGTCAGTTTAAACTAACTATAACTGTTCAGTTTAAACATGGGGCTTGAACCCAAAACCTTCTGATATAACTGAGCCAGACTGAATTCTGAAACCTCAATTGTGACATTGATTCAGTATAATTATATCAGAATGAAATTCCACAGAGAAGCTCGGGGTTATGTTCGGGTGTGATAGGACACAGGTGGATGCCAGTAATTCTTTTCACCAGTGACTTCTATTCACAGCTGGCCCATAAGGTAATAATTAGATGGAGGAGTGTAAACTGGTTGATTGTGACATATGCACCTGTTGACAATTTGCTGAAGAGAAGTATCAGCAGAAAGCAGATTACATACCTGCCCTCCAGTCTCGAAAAAAATGGGTGTTTGGTGGGTTGGAGAGGAGGATGGAAATAAAATATTGTAACGATTGGCATGGGGTGGGGAGTGACCACTGAAGTTTTTTTTAAATCCAAGAATTGTTTTGAGTACAGCATCATTAATTTGGTCCGTAAAATGAATCTCAAATGGTTACTTCTTAACACTTGATATTCAGTTCCTGAGCACAATGACCTTAGTGTGTTGCTGAATCGGTTGATGTTTACATGAGAACCAACACTCAAATGGTCAGGTTTTCATTTTTACCCTAATTAGGTACCAGCCCTTTTAAGTCAAATGCAAGATGCATAATATTGAAGTACCAACATATTGTACTTTGTTCAAACTAATTGCTACATGCTAAATTCTTGATCTCAACCACAATAAACACCAAGCTGTTCTTTATAGGTGTGATTGGCAGATCTCATGCACAATATGCAAGCTAGTTTCAGAGGAGCTTCAACTGCCTGGAGCAGTTTGCTTGCAAAAAAAACACACTAAGAACAAAGGAAAATCACTTAAGTCAGCATTTTACGCTTGCATGGAGTGCAAAAGGAGGAGATTAATGCTTTTCAGCAAAGTTTCTGATTTTGATAATTCAATCTTTAATTGCAGAAAACTATTTTGTAGTTTTTTATAAAGAGTTTTGCAGCACTATCCAAAAATCTTGGATGCAGCAATGGCCCCTTCCACAGCTAAGCAGCCTGCAAACAGAAACTTACTCAAATTGTGCCTGTTCTGACAAGGCACCAGTAGATTAATCAAGAGTCAAGTGCCTTTGGAAAGTAGATGGTTCTACAATTTAATCAAGAAGTCCAGATAAGATCAAAGCTACAAACTTTGCCCTTGTAGTTTACAGGTACCTAAACCGATTAAACTGCAATTACAAGCAGTTTTAAAATGAAATTGGCTGAAGGCAACTAAAAATGCCATTGTGGAATCATACTCCAAAATGATTGACAACTACTTGAATTTATAATTGCCTTTCATGCAGGACAGCTTGACTGACAGGAGAAATAATGTAAATTTTGCAGTGCTAAAACAAAAATACACAAATGAAAAGCTTTTTCTAAACTGTATTACAGCACAGAATTTCGACCACGTCCAAACTGGTCCTTATTATCTGCTAATGATTGAAATTTTCCCCAGCCACAGAACAGGAGGGAGAATGTCATCAATCATGCTGCAGTGTCAATGACCCTATTGCTCCCCATTGTATCCTACTTAAATGAACCATACCTACAACAAATACCCTGATCTGGTTGGAATTTATAGAATTAAATTAATTCCCTTCCCCAGAAATTAGATGTAATCCTCCACACCTCCTCAGCTCCCACACCATTATTGTTAAGCCCTTCAGGACATCCTCCTGATAATGAGTCATAATGTAAATGTAAAATTGTATTAAATTTAATTTTTGAATAGATCAGAAAAACTATTTATATGTGTATGTGCTGGCTTCTTTTGAGACTTCAGGTAAATAACAAGAGTATACAATCCTTAACTGGTGGGTCACTAATATTGAGATCTGTGGCACATTTGGGCCATATGCTTCTTTTCACTCGACTACTTTTCACTGGACTGGGGAGCGGCTGTTCCACTTTCAGCAAGTGCATTCCAAATCTTCCCTCTCCCACTGCAGCCAAATAAAATCCAAACCAGCTCCTTACTCAGCTTATTTTATTGGTACCTGCCCCAATATTTGCATGCCTCTGGGCCTTCTGGACAGTAAGAATGTTAAACCCTGCCCATTTGAGTGTTCTGTTTATAAACGAATATGGGAATTTTACAACCACAAAAGATCTCAGGGCGCTTCATGCGCATGGACCTGTTGTCTTTCGCAAGATGTGAACGAAGCCCCAACTAAACATGCCTTAAACAGTACTTGAATATCTACTCCCAATGATTACATGGACAACTCAACCAGTGTACGTACATACCTATGTCACTTAAAAAACTCATTACTTGGACACCTGCTCATACAGTTTCAATTTAATACAGCCCGACCATACAGTACAAATACGACTGTAAATAGCTTTAATCGCCAAAACAGTCAAGTAAGGATTTGGTCCAACTATTATTTACGCATTTTTTTCCCCCCCACTTATCACAACCGAACTCCGTCCACTGAGGTAGTGTACTAACATCACAACAGAAGGGATGAAACTCTTACCCATCCATACATATATATGTATACATACACACGCACACACACATACATACAAGTAGTGAGTGAACCATCGCAAAAGTGGGCAAGTAAGAATAATCCTTGCATTTGATATCGCGCCTGTTCACGTCGCCGAGACGTCTCAGGGCGCTTCACAGAATGCACGGGTTGAGCGGACTTGACTTGACTGTATATTTGTGGGCAAAACGTGGCACAATGACACAAAAAAAAACCACCCACCCACCCTGCCCTGGAGATCATCATTCACTACCTGTGTGTGTGTGAGTGAATGAATGAGTGAGTGAGTGTGTGGTGCGAGTGCGTGTCGTGAGGTAAAAGGCTTCAATTGATCAAAAGGATCGACGACGATGAAGTGCCGGGGAGGGGGGGGGGGTCTGGCGGATGGATGTGCGCGCGGTCTGCCCGCACCCCGCCGGTGACGTCCCGCCTCCTCTCTCGTGCGCGCGGCGGGAGGAGGGGGGGGAGCGCGAGGCCTAATCGCTCATTTTATTCAAACACGGCGTTCGACGGTTAACCCTCCGCCATCGAAACATAGAGACCGGCCGACCGGCCCCTCTCCACCGCCCCCGGATAAAGCACGCGAGCCGTTTAATAAGGAGATATAATACACACGCACATATACATCTGTACATTCAATCAACCGAAAGAGCACAATAAAACACCACACGGGTTTAATCGCCGCAGAATGACAGCGGCGGAGGCGACCCACGGCCGCCGGTTCGGGTTCCGCTCACCTTCTTCACGGTGCGCGGCGCCTCCATGACGGTGCCGTCCGGGTTGAAGGCGTCTCCGTTCTCGGCCGGTTCGGTCCGCTTCATGGCCGACCTGGTGTCCTTGTGTGCCATCGCCGACGACGACGGCCGCGGCAGTGGCGGCAGATGCTGCCTGGCTTCGTCCGACATGGTGATGCCCGTGACCGCGGGCTCCGCTTCTTTTGTCTGAGCTTTCGCCTCGGGTTTGACTTTCTCGGCGACGATCTCCTTCACCTTCAGGTCTTTGAGTTCCACCTCGGCCATTTTGGCTGTAACCACCTGAACCGACATGTTTCGGGTAGGTATTATTCGTGTGTGTGTGTGTGTGGGTGGGGGGGGGGGGTATAGAGGTTGTCTTTCTCTGTCTGTGTGAAAGCAGCCGAGTCCCTCCGACTGTTCCTTACACACACTCTCACTCTCTCTATCTATCTATCTCGACCAGTCTTGACGAGGAAACCCGAAGCTCCTCACGCTGCGCATGTCCCGCCACATCACCCGCCTTCGGGAGATGTAGTCTTCTCGGCGCTTGTCCTCGCCTCTCACAGCCGGCGGGGGGACCCCGGGGACAACTACATTTCCCACAATGCCGCCGCTCGTCGATCCAACCCGAACAACCCCACCACCACGCGCAGTCGTCAGAGCCGCAATGCCTGTTGGGTACTGTAGTGCGACCTCTCGTGGTGCGGGACGGCTGCGAAGACCAGCGTCACAACTACTACATCTCCCAGCCTGCACTTGGTTGGCATGGTGGGTGGGGGTGTGTGTGTGGGGGGTGTCTGTGTGGGGGGGTGTGTGATACAATACAAAATTGCATTTGTTGTAATAATAATCATAATCCTTGCATTCGATATAGCGCCTCATATCAGACGTCGAGACGTCTCAAAGCGCATCACGGTAAAGTGTAGTGACTGTGTACTTTGCAGGTGGAACGCGGCAGAGTCTTTCGTGTCAGGAGGACGTCCCCAGGTGCTGGAAAGTCAGGGATTTGGACCTGGGGCGGTGGTGGGGCGGGGGGGATTGGGATCAGAGAGGGTGGAGGAAAGGGAGGGTAGGAGGGTGCCTTGAAGGCATGGTCGAACAGCAGGTCGAAGAGAGATGGGGTTCCAAAGGGTGCGGGCAGAGATGGAAATGTTAGTGTTTTCTTGTTGAATTTCAGAGGTAGGGGAAATTTTTCAGAATGCAGTTGGTGATGGGGGGAGAAGGACATTGTTTTTTTTGTTATTCAAGGGCTAATTGTGACAACTTACATGGATAGGCTCCAGCAGTTATCCCAATGCACGCTCTGGGTTCCCCAAGCCTTGGCTCTTGCCAATTTTCACCTAATGTTTTCTGGAATTAGATAAGCAGGATGAGTCTCCAGGGAGAGATAGTGTGCATTCCATTCCAACAATCAATCTATCTCCATGTGAAGGGTGGGATGCATGGAATTCTCAGTTTGGTTTGAATGGTGATGAGTTACCACATGTGTCAGGCACCCAGCTGACCAAAAACAATTCCTGTCTACAATCAACACGTGGAATTATGTGAGATTACACCATTAAGTTTGATTACTCACTGGTACCTGAACACAACCACTGCAAACTACCCTGTCTGCCCTTGAATTGTCACCGGAGCAAGATGTACTTGAACTGAGTCCTGGTTCTGGTGACATTTCAAGGCGGTACCTGCTACCTGGCTTTGTGCATCAACACTGAGCAGAGTTGGACTAAATGAGCATTATAGGTCAGACCCACATAGTGTATCTAATACACAGATGTCATTTTAACTGAAAAGCCAAAGATGAATGACTGACCATCAGTCATTAACTATCCATATGAAAAGCAGACTGTGTCGGAGTCAATACTGACAAATTCACCCACAAAATACACAGTCCCTTTACAATATATTCATAAAATTCCCTTTACAATATATTCTGTGAAGCGCTTTGAGGCGTCTCAATGACATGAGAAGATGCTTTATCAAATGCAAGGATTATTATCTAATAGCAGATTACTTTAAAGGTTTCTGGTGCAAGAAAATAGATGCTTCTGCGCTATGTTGGACACCTGTAATATCTGTCAATCTCTGCATGGCTGAGATGTAACTTGTCAGCCTGGATGTCAGTGAGCCCATCCAATTTATTGGAGTCTCCAATAACATTGATAAATATTACGTAGTCTTGCTCATGGGAGATTTAGAACTTCCTCTGTTCTTGATTTGTGAAAGATAAAATGAGTAAGCAATTAACCATTAAAAATAATGATACCTCGGAGTATTACAATGCAAGTTAGCTCATGAAGGCAATTTGTGATGCTGATAATAATTCACAAGGAACTAAAACTCCAGAGGTTTTTCACATCATCAATAAACTGACGTGAGATTACAGCCTTCAAATCAGGCCCCTGTGTCCAATGTGTCTCCTTGCTAAGTTGTTTACAAACAAAAAATGCACACCTACATGTAGAACTTTCATCGAATCAATCAACATTGCACTGAAATGTAACATTACATTTCATGATTATTGTTGAACATTTTGAGCTGTGGAGTTGCACTCATCATCACACATAAATGAGTTGAAATTGCCCCCCCTCGATTCATTGGGTGCCATAATAATATAATAATAATCCTTGCATTTGATATAGCGTTTTTCAAGTCTTCTAGACGTCTCAAAGCGCTTCACAGAATATGCTGTAAAGTGAATTGACTGTATATTTGTGGGCGAAACGCGGCAGCCAATTGCGCGCAGCAGTGTTCCACAAACAGTCTGGATTGAAAATGACCAACAGTAATACACTGTTAATAAAATGTTTTGCTCACAATTCCATATTGCACATTCCTGGTAACGCAAGATATACCATGTGGGGGTGGGAGGTCTGATCTCTGCTGACGGCAAAAATCGTAATCATTTTGCTATGAATTTTTTTAAAAATATGCTTATCTGAAAATGTGATAGTTCCTGAGCAGACAGACATTCGGGAGCAAGCAAGGGAATTTATCCCCAAGGTCATTTCCATACAAGTTCTTAGCTTTCAATCCTTTAGATCTTTCTTATCATTATCCCTTTTGTCCTCTTTGTTAGCAAAGGCTCTTATCGAGGCAATTGTTTACCTCTGGGGTTGTAATGCAAAAGGACATGACTATAGTTTATCAAAGTGCTTTAGTAAACCTAATCCAGAAAATCAGACATTTCATTTCAGCAAAGCGTTGTTTACTTGAGCCAGTTGTCCCACTTCATACCCTCAGGATAATATCCTTACATTATTTTCTGTCATAGTCAGCACTTGTTGGTATTCATTGCTTATTCAAAAAAGTTTCTTTCTTCCAGTTTTCTCTCTTTCTATCATGAAGCTCTCTGGCATTTAGGCAGACTTCATTCTGCGGTATGGTTGCTCAATCCCACTTGTGCAACGAGACGAGACTGGGAGTGTCTGCAGTATTTGATTAGAGTTGGTGGAGTCATTGTTGGTCTGATTTTGTCTTCACCCAACATCAACAAAGGTGCACTTTCCAGCAGGGATCACTTAATATTGATCAAGAGCAGGACCCTAACTGATTTTTTTTACCCCCCTCTTGAGCTCGGGCATCAAGGCCAATTGCAATTTTTTTTACTGCATTGGAAAGCTTTGCAGTAAAATAAATGTACACACAAGGGAGAAAGGAATATGAAAGGGGATAGTGAGAGGGGATTAGGAGAGATGGAGGTCATTGTGGAGGATAAATACTGGTACAGATTAGTTAGCCAAATAGCCTATTTCAATGCTGCACGGTATATCTATGTAATAATACTGGCTAAGATCACCTAACTTAATGCAGAGCCGTGTTCGAACTGGGAGCTTTCTCATCTGTAGTCACCTCACTCCTCACCCACAGGAAGGATGGGTGAGGAGCGAGATGACCACAGACATGGTTCAAGCAGTAGGATTTCAGGAGGCTGTTAAAGAGACAGTGGCTCAGCGCAAGGCAGAGGGATATAGGGAAGGAATAAATGAGGATAGTGTCTGAATGCTCAGCCACCCATGGTGGAACGGAGTGGGCAAAATGTGTGCAACAGACCCAAATGTAAATGCATTACATTAATGTGGTATTAATCCATACAGAACAGGAAGATCTCAGGTGATCATTCTTCAGTTACTTTGCTTATAGTTGCTGCATTGAGTCATATGTTTTAGGGGTCATTGGTAGCTATGAGGAGCAGGAATCTTGGATGGGATTTTCCCCTCCATGGACTTGGGGCAACGGTGCAAACTGTCACTTGGCTGAGACAAGACAAGACAAAAACTTTGAACTTTGTCCTGATCAGTATCACGCAACAATGCCTGCAATGCATCTGAAAAGTAAACCCAATTTTCTTTTATAATTAAGATTAAATTATTTCAGTGAAGGGGGATGTAGGTATGACACAGCCTTCAACAATCCGTCTGCTATCTTCTTCTCCCCTTCTCCGTCTCTCTTTTCTGAACATTCAAGTTCAGTTCCAGGCTGAAATTCAACTCTAAGGCATGAGCATGACTAATGGCTGGTGAGTCACTGGAGGCATGATCCTCTGTTGCACTGATGTGTAACTGCAGGCTCTCTCTCTCTACTGGGATGACCAGCTGGTTATTTCAGTTAGTGTAACAGATACCACATCCGATCTATTGTCTCTGCAGCAACTCCATTTAACTCTGTAATATTTTCTCTGCCCGCTCCACCCTTCCCTTCAAAGTTTTGAATTTATGTGGGTGTTAGGTCAAAGAGAGGGTACACACAAACATGCTGCGAAGCAAGGCATGTACAGTAATAGGGGTAGAAATTCTACCTGGGTCTAGATTTACTCTATTTTCTTAGCATTTCACAACATGCAGAATTTGATAAATTCTTCAATTCGGTTGTAACTTTGAAACTGTTTATCTGTAAGGTTTTTAAGAACTTCACGGCTATTTGTGAGACACGGGTGCATGCAAATTAGTTGCTCTGTTTGCCTACAAATACAAAGTCACCACACTATGAAGCACTTTGAGATGTTTCGACGTGACAAGCTGTTATATCTAAAATGCAAGGATTATTATGTATTAATTGTCGACATTAAATGCTCCAGAAGAGGTCAGTTCTGAGGCGAATGAAACAGGAGGTTGAAAGCCCACAAGATGGTGCTGTTTTAAGTTAGAATATGAGGTTACACAATACTGTACCGCAGACAGTCACACAGTCAAGCATTGACCCCACTGTCGCTGATACTGACACACAGTGTATCTAACCTCATCCGGAAATTACATGGCCAAGTCAGTCACTGAAAATTGGTTTTGGGAAATAAATGTAGCAATAGTTCCTGGAAGGTGCCAAGTAATTTATTCAGTTCAACGGTGAAGCTGGATAGGGTTCCCCCTAACTCAGCCGGCTGCTTTATTCTAACCTTGACATGTCCACCGCAGCCCGATTACAGTCAAAGG